GGATCATGACCTGAGCCGAAGGCAGACGCTTAACGACTGAGCCACCCAGATGCCCCTATGAACACTTTCTAGACAAAAATCACCTTGGCTATGCTATGTGGTACAGAATTTTGAGCACTGCATTAACCATTTATTGACATGCTGGAAATAGTTTATAATTTTTTCTTGAGGAAATAAAACTCAATGCGAAAGTAGGGTAGTGCTTTATTGTCATGGTTAGGCCTTTTATTTTCCATCAAAGGATGACAAATCTACTTGTTCACCTGGTTTGAAGTACAGGAATCAATCATCAATCCACAGCTAAGGATATTTTGACTCCAGGACCTCATAAGAAATATAATCCTTGTGCTACCCTAATCTTATGAAAATTCCAGCTAAGATAAGTGAAATTTATAGAAGACTGTTTGAAGGACATTCATGATTCCTTTAAGTATGTTATATTCTCTCTGTGGTAGGCACTGTAATTGACTCTCCAACATCCACTTCAGCCCAGTTAATTAGTCTAAACCTGTCACAGTGACTGGTTCAGGCCTAAGCCAATTTGGGCTAATGAGATCGGAGAAGAGGCTTTATAGGAGTATAAATGGTTGCCTATCTCTCCCCTCAGAGTGAACAAAGACACATGTTGATCCAGTATTTGCTGGCATCCATCCTGTGCCCATAAAGAAAAGAGTTTTTAGGACCAAGCTGATGCGGCTTCTAGCAGAACAAACAGAAAATTGCTGATGACCTTGGGGATCCCATAAATCAATGAACCTCGGGATGTAGGCAGCCTGATCTTTGTGTTTCCTTTTGTATGAAATAACTTCCCTTACTGTGTAAACCCATTTCAGAGTTTCTATTACTTGCAGCCAAAAGCAACCTTGGATCAACTGGACTGTCAGAAGCATCCATTTATTTTTACATGTTATTATTTTGTTTTTTTAACTACTACAAAGGTGCTACAAGATGTGACCATATGAAATCTGTGACTGAATTTGCTATGGAACTTTACCCACAAAATGTTAAGTAGACTCTCATTTGAGAAATTTCTCTTAGAAAGTAGTGCTTTCTAGAAAGAGCTCTGATTTTATGGTATAATATATATATTTCATCTTTTCTGCTAAGAATATTATTTTAGGGGTGCCTGGGTGGCTCAGTGTTTGGGCGTCTGACTTTGGCTTGGGTCATGGATCCCAGGGTCCTGGGATTGAGCCCTGCATTGGGCTCCCTGCTCCACGGGAAGCCTGCTTCTCCCTCTCCCACTCCCCATTCTTGTGTTCCCTCTCTCTCTGTGTCTCTCTCTGTCAAATAAATAAATAAAATCTTAAAATAAAATATCTTTCCTCTGTAAGACTACAATGAAATTTGCTAAATATATTTAATAACCCACATTTAAAGCTAGTATAGGCAGGACACAAGGGGCTATGACTTACCCTTCTAATACATGAAATACTTACGCATCTGTTGTCTTTGTACATCCGTTTAGATTCAGTACTTCAATGTTCCTACAATTTTGTGCAAAGGTCCTTTACAGGAAAGAAACAAAGTTAAACGTTTGAAAAGAAATGGGCACAATTCTAGGCATTACAAAAAAATAATAAAAGATATTATTATTGGTAATATTGGATGTTTGTACAAAACAAGCTCACATTTACAAATAAATTCATTTTCAACCACAAATTTTTTTTTAAGATTTTATTTATTTATTTGACAGAAAGTGAACGAGCACAAGGAGGGGGAGCAAAAGGCAGAGGGAGAGGGAGAAGCAGGCTCCCCACCGAGCAGAGAGCCCGATGCAGGACTCGATCCCAGGACCCTGGGATCATGACCTGAGCTGAAGGCAGACGCTCAACCTACTGAGCCACCCAGGCACCCCAACCATGAACTTTTAAACATTGATCTTTGTGCCAACCAAGGTTACAATTACCCGAACTTACTCAAGGCTCCAAAAGAATCATTTATGATATGAGGAATCTGGCTTTTGGTGGGGAGTACTTATTCTTGTTTTATTCTCAAGACCATACATCCCAAAACCATACATCCCAGTGTTATAAGCAATGTATGTGTGTTTGGGTTCTGAAGAGCTTAAGAATATAAAAATTATCTTAGCTTTTTCTGGGTGAGATGGTGCTGTTCTTTACTTCAGCCAAGAAGATCAATTAATCAACAGTTATGTTCTTACCTTAATGCATTGTCTCCTACTCCAAGACACCCACGAAGACTTAACTTCCGTAAAAAGCCCCCACATCTTTTTGAAATATTCTCCACTACTCGGCCCTGTAAAAAAAAGATAGAAACAAAACAAAGCAGAACAATAAGGTACCACATTGTTTTTGAAAAGAACTTTTACTTCTTTTCTTTTCTTTAAAATTTTTAAAAAGATTTTATTTATTTGAGAGAAAGAGTGAGTGAGTGAGAGAGAGAGCTCATGAGCATGGGGAGAGGGAGAAGCAGGCTCCCCACTGAGCAGGGAGCCTGATATGGGACTCGATCCCAGGACCCTGAGATCATAACCTGAGCCGAAGGCAGCCGCTTAACCGACTGAGCCACCCAGGTGCCCCTCTACTTGTTTTCAAAACTTAATTCAGGGCGCCTGGGTGGCTCAGTTGGTTAAGCGACTGCCTTCGGCTCAGGTCGTGATCCTGGAGTCCCTGGATCGAGTCCCGCATCGGGCTCCCT